AAATATCTATAAACTTTATTGGAGGAGAGCTATTTGATTGAAGTGAACTAGCTCAATCAAAATTAAAATGTTTATGTACAGTACCCATATGATAGTACTTACACATGTAGGTTGCGCACCCTAAAAAGTGATGATTGACAAGTGTCTCCCTGATTTGCCGAAAAAAGTCTGGTCACTCTAACATGAAAGTATTTGTAAAATTTGTCAGAATAGAAAATACAAATGTCATCAGCTGTCTCCAATACTATAATTTTTACAGATTTGATATGATTCTGTATTGTCTTCAACTAAACATTTTGATTTATATAGAAATAGCATTTACAAACAACATAGAATCAGGAGAAAGCAGTAATTATTAAAGTAACTTAACCAAAACAGTTTTACAAGGCAGTGCACCAACTAAGAACTAAAGACATCATCTTTTAGTCTTTCTCTTCAACATATTTGTCAATAATAATAAAGCCATATCCTGGTATCTCAATTCCCAATATAACAAATCATGTTCTTTAGTATCCATTATACCTTAATTAGATAATCATAGTGTTAAAAATTTCTTTGAAGTACACATAATAAATTTAAAAGAGGCACTAGTAAAAGTGAAAAGTAGAGTATTATTTATTTCTGAATTCATAATATTTAAATGTTAATATAGTTGTGCAGTTTAGTGATCTTTTTCACAAAATTTCATTGTAATCTTACCATAGGCATGAGTCTTAACTATTTTTGATAATACCAAAAGTTCAGTATCCAATATAGTGGCAACAATAACTTATATTGCATATTCAAACATCAAATCACATGTAAGCACCTAAGAGATTATGGTATGACTTCAAATATGCAATGTAAGCTTCTGTTGCCATTGGATACTGAACTTTCAGTATTATCAATAGTAGTTAAGACTGGGTGGTCCACTTATACTTAACAGTTCATCACAGAAGGTTTGCTGTCTTATTTGTTTATATCATTGTTATTCTATTTCCATATAATAATAATTTAATACAAAATGTACAGTATCCTTATTCTATTCTCATTGCTTACAGAAAATGCAGTTCTTACACAATTTCTTGGAGATAACTTTCCAAAACTGGTATATACAGTATTAATTTAAACATTATAATTATAATTTGTTTTGTTCTGTATTACATACATCTAAAGATGACTGTTATATATACAGATGAAAACATTAGTAAAAATTAGTAATTACAGGTATGCTGGTTGGCATTTAAATTTCTTGGAAATACTACACAAACTTATTCATTGCATTATTGCTTACAAATATATCCTTTAATGATCTCATTAAGTGTTTATTAAGATAATTATAGTTTGCAGTGTTAATATTATGTTACAGACATAGACTAATAGGTAAATAGGTTTTTTTTGAGGTGTTATATAAGATTTAGTATGATTTGAGAAAATTGGTTGGGTTATTCAGATGAACCAGAAACAAGTTATAGTTTTTTCTGTAAGAAATAATAGAAAACACACTGATATCTGAATTGTCAGGAATGTATGACATTTGAATACTGTTTTTTTTTTTTATTCTTTCCACTCTGTAGAAAGTAAGAGGACCTTTTAATCATACCCATCATAGTTTGGCAAGGTCCACAACGGGAACAGCTAGGTAGCAAGGGACAAGGCCTGATGTATCCAAGACAGAACACTCCTGAAAAATTCCTAGGACTGCTCACCTAAATTCAAACCTACATCCCCAGAGCAGTAGGCTGACACCTAAACCACTTTGGCCATCTGACCATCCTTAGATAATGATGCATGACTAATAATAATTTTACAGAAAGATTTTCATATTAAAATTGTATTTATTTCTGAATATCATAAAAATTAATTATAAATGATTATATAAGGTAAAGTTAATAGATATCGAAGAGAGTACCCACTGATAAGATTTATAATCAAATAATAAACTTAGAGCCTTTTGATATATGAAACTCTAAGAAGATTGGAAGATGGAAATCTGAAGAAAGACACAATATATTTAAATGAAGAAATAGATGATGTTTGTAAATTATAGAGTATCTGAAATTCAATAAATATCAATATTAATAGAAAAATTTTACATTTGTCTATTTACAGTATATTAACAGAATTTAAATCTATACTAATATTATAAAGAGGTAATGTTTGTAAGTAAGTTTGTTTGGATGTAGCGGGTAATCTCTGAAACTACTCATCCAATTTCAAAAATTCTTTCACCAATATTTATAATGGAACTTCAGGGTGGACATAGGCTATATATTATTCCATTAAACATTCATATAAATTAAAAGATATAATCTAGGTTAAGGCTTTTATGTCCAACAGATGGTGCTACAAGTACAACACCCTAAGTTTGGTTTTCTGTGAGGCATTATGCTTTTCTGTGAAAATGAACTAAAGCAGATCAGAGCCGGCCCTACCATAGGGCGAAAAGAGCAGCCGCTCCAGGCGCTAAGTCCTAGGGGGCGCCTCAGTGGTAAAGAAAATTAAAGGGTATAAATTTGGGGGCAACCAAGGGCAGTGGCGTAGTGAGGGGGTGCATCAAGCACCGGGCGCCACTCGCAGAGGGGCGCCCAAATGGTCTCCAAGACAAACTAT